CACAGCGGTGGCACATTCCTATTGTTATTGACGTTTATGGCCCGACGACTCAGTTGACAACGCGGGTACTATAGAATCCTTAATTTCGTGTCTATATTTTTGTGTTAAATTTATAGTCAGTAGGTCTGAAAATTCTCATCTCTCTCGGTCTCATTTTATCACTCACTGACTCACTCGTCAAAAACCTAAGGCATTTCTAGGTTACAAATTTGGCAGCAAGGTGGATCATTAGGCGTATACAAAGGTAAACATTCTGAAAACTAGATATGTATTACCGATATACGGTGACGATTTTAATCCTCATAGATTACATTGATAATTTAAAATTAAAAATTTTGTACAGCCGACTTCAATATAAGTTATTAAGAATAACTCAAAAACTTGGTCTGACCTTGATCAAATTCATATGGGACCACACGAGAAGTACCAGCTTTCAAATAAAAAAATAATCATCGAAATCGGTTCACCCAGTAAAAAGTTATGAGGTAACACACATAAAAAAAACATACAGTCTAATTGAGTACCGTCTCCTTTTTGTAAGTTTTTTTGTTATAGGATAGGGTGACAAACGAGCATACAGTCCACCTGATGGTAAGTGGTTACTGTGACCCATAGACATCTACATCTATCCTCAATAAAGACTCAAAATGTAGATGCGTTGTCACCCGTGAGGACTAAGATAGAATGCCTCTTGTCCAGTAAAAAGGGTCTCCGGTTCTCTACACTCACCATACGAAACAGCTAAGTTAAGCGGCTATTTTACGCTGGTATTCTGTGAGGGCGTGGTCCTTCCCCGGTCGAGCCGACCCATTCGTGCTACAACTATACTACTAATATAGCTGCAGCATGGCTCTACCAAGTCGGCAGGAAAAAGAAAATAATAAAGAAAAAACGCAATAAAAATAGTTGGGGGTCAGGTATTTAATAACACACAAAAAACAAAGTGAAAAGGGGATAAATTTGAAATAAACGTTACTTAAATCATAGGATCTACAAGAATATACGACATTCTTTTATAACTTCTATTACGCTTGGCGCCCTTTCAGATCTAACTCTTGTATCTACAAAGCCGATAACCGTGAACATCGTTTATACCAAACTTGTTTCCTTTTTAACATTTATGTTTATGGTAGATAAATGCTCATGCTAAAACATCTTAATTTAGTATTGCAAAAGAAAGGGATATAAGATATAAGGGGAAAATGCAAACTTTTTATCCAAACGCCAATCTTGTCTATAATTTATCCACAAGCACTACTTAACTCTAGCATACTGGTAATGAAAACACTGCCAGTGCTTGGTACCGTCTCTTCTCGCCAATCCGCCTGCCTAGAGTACGAAGAATGAGCTCCAGCGGGGCAATAAAACTTCGTGTTGCTCCAATGTTGATGTTCGACTGGTACTCGAACTTAAGGTTCATGTTTTTATTGATAAATAACATTCTACCTTCGAACCATAGACAGTGGCGTAGCTAGGGCTCCAAACTAGGGCAAGCTCAAGATATGGCTTTGTTGTTTTTAGCAGTTTTATAAAAATACACCAAGCTTGATCTGTCTTCACTCTTCAGTTTCATATTCAGTGCTGTCGAGGACGTGTTTAACAAAGCAGACAGAAGGCATACTATTGCTAGATATATTGTATGACATATCAGTAATTCTTCGGTGGTTTTGAAAAAAGCCATTTGGGTTTGCTTGAGCGAAAGAAAAAGATATTTACATACAATACAATACATGAACAAAAAAAGAAACAGATCTATTAAATTGCCGTTTGTGGGTTTTACTCGTCTGAGAAATACACAGTTCAGGCGTTGGTTTCGGCGTTGATATGAGCTGTATTTTCTCAACAAAGTTTAAAGATTTTACCTTTTCCTCGCCGATAAACACTAATAACACACTTAAATTCATCACAAGGAACTCTATTATCCTCCATTTTCTCTCAGCAAATCAGTTGGTTCGAATACGTGGAAAATCGGCAACGAAGGGGTGGAGACTGGTCAAGAGTCTGTTTGTTCGATGGTGTAAGGGAGAAGAGTGAATTCATTTATACAATTCCTGCGCACAGTTTTCAAAATGTACCCTGTAGAACACCGGAAGACGGCGCCTGAGTGCAAGTTATATTATATTTTTTAACTATTAAGCAACACCGACCATAAACTATGATCCGGCTCGAAGGGCCTTTGTGTGTTTTGTTCCTACATAGCTGGCTCTCATTTTCTACAGTCAAAATATTTGTGCAAACAATTGAACAATTTTTTAGTGTATCGTTTTAATTTTAGCAAACTATTTTTTTATATTTATTTATTTATTAATTAGATATATTTACATATAAAACATGGACAGATAAGGATTGTACAATTCTTAAAGCACGACATGTTTTGCTATGTGATTGTAAATAGCATGCAAATTTACATAAATAGCACATATACAAATGAAATTTTCTAATCATAATACAAAACAGTTAGACTAAAACATATAAAATCATAAATAAACAAAGATTATCAATTCATTAAAAAAATTCATTTACATTTAACAAATAGGTCTCTGAGGTCATAAAATTGATTTTCATTGAAATAAGTCAAAATTTTTTTTAAATAAATTATTATTATTCGATTTGATTTCATTTGATATTTTATAATAAATTCGAATACACATGGTTAAACAGCTCTTATACTATATTTGTTTGATCGCGGTACATCATCTAATACAAGTCTATTTGCATTTCTTTTTAGTCTTATATTCATATCATATGCCTTTGTAAACAGATTATTATGTTTATGTACGAAATTACAAACTCCGTAGATATACAGAGATGGTAGTGGCAACAAACCTAGGCTCCTAAATATTGGTTTGCAAGATTTATCCGGTGTGATTCCACCAATAGCTCTAATGCATTTCTTTTGTGCAGTAAATAATCTCTGTTTATATGTACCATTGCCCCATTTTACAACACCATAACGTAGTAAAGATTCTATGTAAGCGTGATACGTTAGAACAGCAGTTTTTTTGTCTGTAACATTTTTACTTTATTAAGTGCATAAACAAATTGGTTAATTCTACTGCATAGGTGATGTATGTGACCTTTCCAGCTTAAATCTTGATCGATTATTACTCCTAGGAATTTAATTTGTGTTATTTCGTTTAATTTGTCGTATTAAGATTAAAATTGTATTTTGTATGTTTGATTTATTAAATTGAATATAAGTTGATTTATTAAGATTAATTTTTAAATTGTTTCTGTCTAACCATTTAATAATTGTATCAATTGTGTTGTTAATGTCAATTTCATGATTACGTATTGAATTATCTTGCTTCTTATCAGTGCTTACAATTATTGTAACATCGTCCGCGAATAAAATACATTTATGACTGGTGATTAGAGTTATATTATTTAAATATAGAAGAAACAATATTGGACCCAGCACGCTACCTTGAGGAATGCCGTGTTTGTTCTCTTTATAAGAAGATGAGAAGGACAGCATTTCCTCTTCTACAATCTTTTTTATTACGACACATTGTCTACGGTTAACTAAATAGGATGATATCCATTTTAGTGTTAGTCCTCTGACACCGACCATTTCCAGTTTTCGTAATAATATGCTGTGCGCAACGAGATCGAAGGCTTTCGATAAATCAAGAAACAATGCTGTGGTTAAAAAATTGTTTTTTATTTTTATAATATATATTGTTTCTCTATTTGTTTATGGTTTTATATGATTAACTTGTGCGAGTGTTAAATGTTTGGAAATTTTACTATCCTTATAGATAGATAGATAACTCTATTGTAGGTACACGAAAACAATAAATGAGCTAAAGAAAAACAAAAAAAAATTGTGTCGCAATGGGCGGTCTTATCGCTAAAAGAGATTTCTTCCAGACCTTCGGATGGACAAAAAAGAAGGAGAAAATTGTGTGGTTTAGTATGCAGAAACAGAATATTTATAAATATCTATTATATAGAAATAAATACCTGAAAATACGAATGTATTTGTTATATACGTATTTGTTACCAAAATTCTTAACAATATACATTTTTATGCTTCACTTTCATAGTTTCTCTGGGATTTCTATAACTTAACCCAGACAGCAGTCATTGCCATCGAAGCCAACCGGGTGTCCCAGGCGAGAATTTGTCCAGTCAGTGCTAAACTACGATTTCGCATGTTTAATAATCTGATTCACCTTTTAAGGTAATTTCTCATGTAGCTGGACCACATCACAAGGACCTGGGGTAGCTGTACTATGTAAACTGAACGCCATACAACCCCCATAACAGATGCTACTATTACAAAGCACTTGAAACCTCGGAAATTGAAAGTAAATGTCGTTCATGACGCCCTCTTGACATTAGTGCCCATAGAAAGCCGTCACTGATCGAAGTATAGTGTTCAAGGCGCCAAAATGACTTCTTCTTTCATCATATGCGCACTTATTTTAGGTACTGTTTGTACAAGTGTACTTGTCTTCTCTGATATTTTATTGTTAACGATGTATTACAGTTTCAAGGCGTCTAAGCTAACGAAATATCTTGAGGTTTATATAACCATCAGGGACTTATTTCATCATCCTCACTAATCGCACCACTTACGTTACGTATCAAAATCCACTACAAACCAGTATTTAAGCGACAATATAACTCTCTAACTCACACACACGAACAAACTCACATACACACGGACTCACACCTCACACACACTAATCACACACCACATGGCGTATCAAATGTCGATAATTTGTTTTGTATACAACAATTTAATAACTACCTAATCTTTAATTAAGTCTAAAGTCGTAATGAAATTGTTTTGGAAGAGTGGAGCTTCCTATCACAAGCAATGCATTTGCTTAAAAGGAAGCTCCAACCACAATATATTGTAGAAACTAGACAAAGTCATGAAATAATTTTAATTTTTTTTAAAAACTGAGAAGCAATCCACCGGCAGTCGGGTATCTGTTAAAACCTGTATAATAATAGATTATTTTAGATTCATAATGAAAGAACAGATTAAAAAGACATTTTATTTTATAAAAAGGAAAATAAAATTACACAAACACAATGCCAACATTTATAAATAATAATAAACTATTTTCGGACTTAAACACATAGTCGTATTATGCGTTAACAACCTTATGTAAACAAAAAGTACAAATATGATGTCATGTTAAAAACAATGTCGATACAACATAATATAATATTTTAGCAATATGCTTCAAATATTTTGTACTAATAAATAACTTGGGAGATTTATAATTTGGTATTGAAAGTTCAATTTAAATTGTGTTTGGTCAGTGCTGCCAGCTTCGTGTTTATACTTTACCAAATTGTAGATCTTAGCACAAAATATTTACAAAAGTAACAACAGATATAAATTCTCAAACACACGTTGAAAACATAAATACATTCAAAATAAAAGTTCAAAACTAGGTGGTCACTGGTAAGTATGGCCGTGTAATTATCTCTAAAATAGTACAATAACGCCATAACGTCAAGCGCAAGTGATATTATCAGGGTATAGTTTCAACTTATTGCACACTTTAACAACATAGATCACATGTGCAAAGCACTTACAGACTAGTTTATATTCGAGTTACAAAACTACAAAAGACTTACTTTTTACGTCAACAGAAGTACACATTGTGGTTTTTTTTTATTGTTATTTTAAGTTTATGTGCCGTTTAGAAATAGATACAATCTGTACCGGTTAGGATATTAGATTATTATACCTTTCTTAATTTTTGTATGGGGTCTTCGAATCGACGTAAAAAGTGACCGTATTCAGTGGTCCTTCGAGTTTATAAACAATTTTGTGTGATTCTCAATAACATAAACTGTTTAATAATTAATAATGTTGGTAACTTTTTTTTTATTCAATATTATCTTAACCTTGAAAAGTGAGGTAGCGGCATTTTGAGAAAAAAGTTTTTGTTGTTTTATACTTTGGTTATAGTAAACTTAACTCGGTAACTTTGCGATTTTAATTAAGTTGATGGTATCTAGCGATTTCTAAGCTAATCTAATCTGCGAGTCAACGGCAAGCGGACAAATTTTGTTTATAAATTTAAGGGAACGAACTTTAGAACCTCTACTTTTTGTTAACTCTTACATCTAAGTATAATAACGTTACAATTATAAACAGATTTGTAAAAAAGCCTATACATTGTATATTTCATAGCGTACATAATACGTATTGTACTTATATAGCTTTGTGTATATTAATATAATTTAAATAATTTAAGTAGACAGCTTGTATATTTGTTGATTTGTGCACGAAAGCGCTTGATTAAGAAAGTTTACAACATTCTTATATTCTTATCCGTGTATGGCGATGAGATGTAAGCCCTGGAAACAGAAGTAATATATGTATTAGGAATATTAATTTTAATATACCTATTATAAAAACAACATTAAAGTGTAAAAAATATCAAAACATCGCAATCAAAAACCTAAAAATTAACTAAAGTTATCAATGCAGACAGAACGCTAAACGTGGTTCTATAACACGAGTGTTAATAAAAAGAATAAAAAATAAACCTAACAAAGCGAACTATTAGTACATGCACCACAAAAACTAAAATAGTAACAAAAAGTATAATTTTTATTTTGTAATTGGCAATTGTCACAGTTATAGTCAAATTAATAATGATAATATAAACGCAAAAAAATATTTATCAAATTATTATTAAAATAAAAAAAATCAATGTTAATGTTTTGAAATCTTATATTTATTATACAAGAATTAAAAAGTGTAACAACATCGAAGGCCATGCAACGTTTGACAATACATAAACAAACGCAAGCTAATTGAGAGCAACATTGCGTCTACAATATTAATTTTTATTAAGGACCTGTACGAAGCTTGTATTTTTATTTATTTTTTTATTTTTGTAATATTCTTGCAGTCTTCTCGCATATCTTCACTATTCGCTTAGCACAGGGAGCATTGATCTAGAAGAATTATTGCAATATTTAATATATAATTGATATATTAAGTTTTATTTACATACATAAATGTACTTAAAAATATGAAGGATTCTTATAAAATGTGTTTTCTATTACAGATTATGAATAAATCAAACATAAAACAACAATAGATATATGTATTCAAAGTATGTGTTATATGATAACATAACTTCGACTTTGAGACAGGGTTCATGTAAGCGATTGCTATGTACGTGATGTATATTGCCAAAATTTAAAATAACACAACTTGATTTATGTTTTTACATTTTAAAAGGCAGCTTTTTAGCACTAAGCGATGATGATGTTTGCAGTTTTGTACTAAAATATTATGCAGTATAATTTATTTAAGAAAGTGTAAGACGCATGTTTATAGTACACAATACACAAAGTTACCAATAATTAAATTGATTTAATTTAATGGCAACACGTATGCATATTGTCTTCATCTAAAGGCCCGTGTATATATTATATGAATAAAGAATCAAAATATTTAAAAAAGTACCTTCCATTTCCAAAGCTATGGGAATGGGACCTTGGCAGCGTTAAAAATAAAAATACAGGTAAGCAATAGCCAAAATGTTACTGAAATTTATAATTTTATATTTTATTCGGCAAACTCGCAGGCTTCTACAGCAGCTACTTTGAAGCGCACTACAAATTACAATCAGCAACATAAAATTATTCTAAGAAACTATGACTTGAATATTAATTATTATTAAATAACTATATAAATATATATATATATTTGCTGATTGTACTTAGGATAAACGGATGAAATACATTATCTAGCTCAGACTATATACCCAGAGAATATTGCAAAAAAGCTTATGTACCTAATTTAAAAAAAATACCTACATCAAGTGTGACAGTATAGTAATTAGCTATATTATGTGTTTATAATTTATAAAGTAGGTGTCGAAAATTCCCAACATTTATGTTTGCGGTATATTTAGTATACAGGTAAACTTTTTAATTTATTTATTCTAAACCTTTATTTTGTTCACCTTAAGTAACAAAGGTTGAACGACTTCAATGAAAAAAAAAAAATTTATTTTTTATTTTTCTGCCACCAGGGCAGCGCCACTTAAAAGTCAGGTATAATATTTGACAGATTTCATAGCGGGGAAGTTAATTTGTGGGGAAAATGTAAAGGGTTAATGTTTATTTCTGTATTGTTGGCTATATTTTATATTAAAAGGTTAATCCTTTTAATATAAAATATAGCTAACAATAAAAAATAAATAAACCAAACCACAAATATTCATAAAAGTAGAATTTTTTTTTAAAGTTAAAATTGTGCAAAATATGAAAGAGCAAACCACTGAGGCATTATTTTGTGTATTAATATAATACTCTAGAAACTGATAAACTTTTATTAAAAAACTAACTTCTCGATCAAATGACATCGTGTAACAAAAAACTTTACCTCAGTGTCAACTAGCGACATCTGGTGAGCAGAAAATTATTAGCCCTCATGGCATTCTATGCCAGTCACCTCATAGTGTGGTGAAATTAAAGTGACAGCTAACATATACAAGTAATAAAAAATATAAATATATACATTATTATAATACATACATATACGGACGTATAAATATATACACATAACCTATATAAATATAACCCTTGTTATATGTTTGCATTTTAAAATAAAAAGTTTTATAACAACGAAGATTGTTTTGCTTGACAGTTGCCTTAAGATTAATAATGATAAACAAGGTTGTTATAGGCTTTTTGGTTGTAGGTAGGTATCAGGCCCGGACTCCACCAAAGCGGAGATGTGCGGAGATGTCCGAAACGGAGACGAGAAGAGATGTTTTTCGACCAGGGTGTATATACCGATACTGTGCGGAGACGGAGATGCGTACTGGCTAGACTAGAGCGGAGAAGTGTGCTGGCTAGAGCGGAACTGAGCTGCTTGCAGCGAGCGTTGGACGTTGAGATGAACGCACAGTTAGCGCGATCTGACACGAGAGGCAGACGTTTCAGTCATGTCACTATTACAAAAGTGTATCTTCCTTTACTTGAAGTTTTAGTCTGAAGAAGCAAAATTGATTGCTCTATACCACCTAAACAAAAGAACACATCGATTTTGGAGAAGAGAGAGCTTGCGAGGCACAGCTCACATCTCCACTTCGATCGCGCCATACAAGGCGTATGAAGACAAGATGTGTGAATAACGAAATTCTATTGGTTTAAAACACATCTCCTCGCCTCTCGTCTCGCCTCCGCTTTGGTGGAGTCTTGGCCTTACAGATTATTTAGTTGTGAAACATATCTATCATTTACGACCTTTTTATTTTAGTAAACCAAAATAAATATATCAAACTATTTAAATCTGGAAATATAATCATCTCATATAGTAAAACTACATTACTATGATGCTGTGGAAAATAGAGGAGTGACATAATAAGATCTAAGCCATTGAAGCGTAAATGAATATTAACTTTAATTTTAGCTAGGGCTGCCTACTTTTATAGAAGAAAAACAGTAAATTTAAATTTAGAACTAACAAACAAGCAGATAGAAAAACAATAAGGAATTGGATATAAAGTAAATAATATTTTATTCAGTCTTTAAAAAATGGAGGAGGTTTTAATTCGACTATTACACGATATCAATCATCTCGATATCGATTTTTTTTGTTGGAAGGATTATAATATTATTACGTTGCTAAGAAAGCTCGACCGTGGATGGTTTTTTTGGAAAACTCAGAATTTGATAGGCGCTGTGGAAACGCAACAGTAAAAGAACATAAAACAATAGAATACTGTAAAATATAGTATACTAGCTGGCCAGGCAGACATACCGCCCTTAGCGGTGAACCTCTGTACTAGAAAAATCCTTAAATTCGCAATAAAAAATACTGAAAGTCACTTATCGGGATAAAAACTATCCTATTTCTCAAGTTGGGCCAAACTGCACATAGTGTGCAAAATTTCATTAAAATCATTTCAGTGGTTTAGGAGTTCATCGCGGACAAACAAAAAATTATTCTGCTGTTCCTTGGGTGAATTCACAAAAGTGTCTATATACGTGTTATGTTATAATAGTAGATCAGTTGTGTTCTGTCCTTATTAAATAAGATAGTTTTATGTGCCTACACTGTCGTATTAGGTACGCCTGTAAAGACAGAGGTAGAAATAAATACATAAATAAATAAATATTTTTTTGTATTTTCAACCGACTTCAAAAAAGGGGGGTTCTCAATTCAACTGTTTTTTTTGTGTCTTACCTCAGAACTTTTTTCAGAATTTTTTTTATTTGAAAGCTGGTGATTCTCACGTGGTCCCATATAAATTTGGTCAAGATCTGACCAGTAGTTTTTGAGTTATCCTTAATAATGCGTATTTAATTGACTTTGACTACATTGATGATGTTTATTTATATTCAAGTCGGTTGTACAAAGTTTTTACAACATAATATTGTGGTGGCAAACCTTTACTATGTATTAGATTTCTGTGGAAACTAAATTAGTTTTAGAATTACTTTGATATTTATAATGTATATATTTATTGTACTGTATGTTTCCTTGAAAAAGCAAATATATAAATACGTAGTAGAGATGGCAACCCTACTGGCGTGTATAGCTAAGCGATAAATAACATGACGTACCTACTTTGAAATGCTTAGGTAAAGCTCAAACCCACAACTTTCTCATATTCAATGCGTTCATTCCTGTTACTTGTATCTTTCACAAAAAATCTAGTCACTAGATGGAGTGACAACCTGGTAAGACATGCAGGAAGTAGATGCAGGTGTCTCACGACCGGGACTTATGGCATTCCTTGGAAAGGCCTATGTTCAGCAGTGGACTTGTGAAGGACCATAATAAATCAACACAAAAGAAAATAAAATCAGATCAACATTGTTTGTAATTGTCTACTCCTAGACATAAGCCTCGGGATCTTGGAGAGTTAGAGATTATTGTAAACGATACAAATTATCTTATTTGTATCATTTTAAAAACTAAAAGGTAAAAAATGAAGAATCGCCCAAGTTTTTAGACAGTAAACTGAGCAGTGGAGCTGTAAGAATATCCACTACCACATATCGTTCCGTGGGTGTCGGAAGAGGCGACAGAAGGAAACAAACATATATATAGGCAACAGTATATTTCTAATAACAACTCAAAAAAAACTGCGGTTGCCAACAATTATTGCAATTAATGGGGGAGGGCCAATGTTCAGCAGTGGACTTTTATAGGTTGTAATGGATGGATGACATGATTAACACAGTTTATAATGTCAAAGTTTTTTTTCCTATAATTTCTATATAAATATAACAAACGAGCACACAGTTCACCTGATATTAAGTGGATGCTGTGGCCCATAGGCACCTATATCGTCTATCTACGATTAATAATCAAAATGCAGATGTGCTGTTATCCCTGAAGACTAGGATGGAATGCCCCGTTTCCAGTTAAAAGGTCTCAAGTTTTTTACATTCACCATACGAAACACAGCAGCATTGAACTGCTATTTTACGCTGGTATTCTGTGAGAGCGTGGTCCTGCCCCGGTCAAGGCGACCCATTCTTGCTACAACCATAATATAGCTGCAGCGTGGCTCTACCATGGAAAGAAATGGACTACCCGATTTCTAGTCAATGATTATAGCGACGAGTTGTAGCAAAAATTAGTAGTAGTTAGTTATTCTTGATTTACTTATAACTAGCTGTTTCCCGCGAATTTGCCCGTGTGTAATTTAGAGTTCTAATTTTTTTGTGTGGAACCCCAATTATTTTTCTAAAGTAAAAGCAGCCCTTTACTCCTTATAACATCAGCTATCTGCCAGTGAAAGTCCCGTCAAAATCGGTCCAGCCATTTCGGAGATTAGCCGGAACAAACAGACAGTAGATTTTTTTAAATTATGTTTTTGTTATGAGTAACGTGTATATATATACTTTCATATGCATTTAGTAAAAAGCGGTTATTTTCATATTACAAACAGACACTTCAATTTTATTTATTTGTATAGATATATACAAGATAAGCAAGAGCTTAACTGAGAATAATATTAAAACCATGCAATCTATTGTAATCGCCCAGTAGTCCATTGCTGGGTATAGACCTCTCCCATAGTGAGAACTAAATCATGCAGACTATCAAAATGGTTATTCTGTTCCATTATTGTATAGACGACCGAGTGCAGGCACTGTTTGTATATTGTATTAACAATGCGAGAGTAACAATTTGCAAACAAAGGAACGTCAGAAGGAGGAAATGCCATAAAAGTTGTAACAGAAAACTATATCTAATCACCACTAAGTATGCTAAAAGTTAAACACTAAGTCACATATAAGATAAACGTATAAGTAGCGGCACGAAAGTCTAGCGGTGACCGTTATTGCACATAAGTCGCGCTGATTGGCTCGTGCGTATCGTTCGCGTCCGCACTGATTGGCCTTCCAGTCGCATTCATGCAATTCAATTCGTGCGCAGCCCCTCCTCGTTTCGTTCAACGCTAGACTTGCATGCCGCGACTTGTTGGTCATCAGACCTAAGTGGTTTTCAAAAACCATCAAACACGTATCAAAGTGTTTGGTTGTGGCTTAAGAAAATTCGTCACCAATACTTTTCCTCCTGGTTATAGTTAGTACATGAATCTTATGTCATCTGTTAGTACATAAATCTATATGAGCCACATGAACGTTATTCACCTGGTCAACAAAAGAACGAAGTTTTCGGGGACCAACTAATGACGTTATTTTTTTTATAGAATATGGATGATACAAAGTTACAAACATTGATCATTTATTTCTATAGAATAAGTAAGGGTGGACAAACGAGCACACAGTCCACCTGATGGTAAGTGGATTGCTGTGGCCCATAGACATAACATTTCCCCTCAATTAAGAATCATACTGCAGGTGTGTTGTCACCCTTAAGGACTAAGATGGAATGCCTTGTTTCCAGTAAAAAGGGTCTCCGGTTTGCTATACTCACCATACGAAACACAGCAGCGTTAAGCGGCTATTTAACGCTGATATAATACAAATGGTGTGAACGAGATCTTGCAACGCGGCGTATCACGTAAAAGTACTCTCCTAAGCGTGAAGAGTATAGTATAGTTATAAATGTCAATTTATCTCTTGAGAAAATTTTGAATATCGGATATAAACGGAGGCGGGTGAAATGAAGTTGATCAATACGATCGCTTATGATCGATGATGAGAAAGTTATGTTAGATAACATAACAGAGAAATGAGAGAGCAGAAAGGCGAAATGGGAGAATTGTAAATAGTATATAATAGGGCAAAGGTGAGATATACGAAAGGTGAAATTTTAACTGTAATAAAGGGAAGATAACAAAAAGGCATAATGCAGGATGTGATGCCAGAAAGGAGAGATATGTGATGTAGGGAAGACAGATGGAGCAAGGCCATTAAAAACTTACAGCTCCATATTGTGCACGGTGGAGTTTGGACACATGGAGGGCACTTTGACGTGGCAGTGTTTGTGGCACTTGAAGCAGCAGTCGCGGCACTCGTAGCCCTGCTTGCCCAGCCGCCGGGCTACGGTCTTGCCACACACCTCGCAAACCGTGCCACTGCAAAAGCCAAACGATTGTTCTTGTTTACTTTGTTACCTATAAACATAGAAGTACTTAAATAAAGTTTTAAAAATAAGTTAGTGGTTAAGTAAAATAAAATGACAGCCTTAATACAAGCTACTGAAAGCCGCGATGCTCTCAACTTAGTAGGTCCAACTTTTTTTCGCGTACCACTTCGAGAATGAGCTCAATCTCGAGTACCCCCTAACCTAAATATTTGATTGGAGTAAAAAAATAACTTTTGAATTTCCCACAACTTGGGCAATTTACAGCACCCATGGTTACAGGTGGGATGGAGGAGCTTGGCGTCCCAATGTCATAGTTAATGAAGGCTACCTTAAATTTTTAATTATTCAATACTACTCGAAATAATAAAAAAACTACGGTTACAAACCCGCGGCAACTATGGCAAAATCCCCCATGTGGCAATCTGTTCAGCAGTGGATTGTTATGGGCTGTAATGGATGGATGCGTTAAAGTTACAGACTATATAAGCCGCACAACTGGGTACAGGCCTCCCCCCATGAATACACTTAAAATTGCAATTAACAATTTTATTGGTGCCGGCGGGAATCGAACCCGGGTTGCCCGCGTAATGCAGCGAGCGCTAACCATCTGAGACACCACGGCTCTTAGCGGCTTCTTGGATGCGTATCTATGTTAAAAACACCGGAGTGAATTCGGAGTGACTCACAGCCCTACCTACCAGCAAGGACAGAGCAACGTCTGGCGGACCAGCTAGTACATTAAAGTATATATTATATGTACTGTATATAGATATATATCAACCACTCACCCACTAAGATGTTTTGCGATGAACGTGTGTTCGTTATATATGTGAAGTTTCACACCCTTCCGCCGCCATCTTGATCTCTGCGCGATGGTCAGCGGCACCAGATAGTGCTTCTTTATACCCGCTTCAATCGTTTCTAGGACTAAAGTAGACGCTTCGTGGATAAATGTCCTGGCCGAGGCTGTGCTAAAGCCGGATGCTTCACTAAGAGAGGACCTTTGGTATTATTTTATCGAAATAAAAAGTTTTGAGGTTATATTAAAATAATGGAGGGAAAAGTCATAATGTGCAATAAAGAAAGTTGACAAGTCATTTCAAAATGTTTAAGTTATGATTATTAAGTTTGTTTGCAAAACCAACAATGAAGTAAATAAATAGTTTAAAATCAATTGAAATTCGAAATATATTTACAGAGAAATGTAAAGTATATACGTTCGTATTTAGAAATAGAAAAAAAAATATTTTGGACAAACGTGAAATTGAAAGAGTTCAAGCAGAAAATGATTGCAAAAGTAATTAAGTTTCATTCAATATGTGGTATGAAAAAAGAAAAATGAAATAAAAAGGAATATATAGCATTTTCATTCCAGCACATATAAAATTTTATATAACAATTAGTATGAAAAACCAATGTTACCAGATTGCAGAGTGCGATTACCCCCGCGGATGTGAGTGTTGACAGATGAAAAAAAAGAAAGAAAATCACAATTAGTGCCGGTGTTACCGCTCTACAAACTTCACGGACGAAACATCTATGAATTGTGTTTGTGACATGACATTAAAAGCCTAATTATTAGTATTTAACTGCAAAATTATCTAATATATTTTATTAAAAATATTTTCAAACGCTTTAGCCGAGATTAATTTTGTGCGAATAGCCAATATAAAAAAAGTTAAAGTTTACTATTAATTAATTCTATTTTCACTATAGCACAACACTTAGAAAATTATTTCTATTAATCAACAAATTAACATTAAGTTATTATTGTTAGATATTTTATTTAATATTGTTTTGTAATTTCAGTAGGATATCTATTACCATAAAGAGATAATTTTTTTATTAAATGAGTTTGAAAAAATACACTACCAAGAATATGATGCAATTCGTTTCACTTTAATCAGTTTTCTCTGACTATACTTTAATATTATAAAATTAAAAAAAATAATAAGTTCAGAATAAGTAAATAAATTGCATTATGAAGGCTCCTTTTTTAATTCATTAAAAATATCTCACAAGAAGTGTAACAAAATATTTCATAATAAATACACATAAATATAAAGACGACAGTGTTGAAATAATTACCTATAATATTTTGCAAGAAAATCATACGTACCTTCTAGATGTCCTAGATTCATCACCAGACTGAGCTGGCGATGCTCCCGCTGAGTATACATTTCTGTTGGGGAGGGCCATTACTTTATCTGTAAAACAATATTTTGGAGTTATTAAAAGCTTTTTACGTGGTAGAGCCACGCTGCAGCTATATTATGGTTGTAGCACGAATGGTTCAGCTCGACCCGGGAAGTACAACGAGCTCACAGAATACCAGCGTAAAATAGCAGCTCAATGATGCTGTGTTTCGTATGGTGAGTGTAGAGAACCGGAGACCCAATCGGAAACGAGTCATTCCATCTTACTCCTCAGGGGTGGTAACGTATCTGCATATTGTTTCTTTATCGAGGATAAATATCTATGGGCCAAAATATCCACTTACGATCAGAACTGTGGGCTCGTTTGTCATACTTATTCTATAATAAAGTTGTTTGAAGAGGGTTTGTAAAAGTAGAAGGATTGTGTAAAAGTGATGCGATATTGTGGTTAAATGTCTGCGCATATGAACTATTAGTGGAACGACGAAACAAGTGCTCGCGATGGTGATGTGAAACTCAAGTTGTTGTGTCTGATTTGGCGTTTTGAGACACTATCGTCGTCGACTATTTGCTGATTCAGACACCCGTTAAAATCTCCCAAAAACTTCGCAATGTGACGCATCAACATTTTGTAAAGAAATGATACAAATTATATTAAAGGATAACTGGCAAAATAACAACCGTACGAGCCATTACCAAAGAAAAGAACTATACGTATGGGACTATCTCACCGTGCGTATTTCTCTCGGCACTGACGCTGCGCAGTCGCTGATCGACGTCAGAGTCCTGGAGGTCCAACGATTGGCCTCGAGTACGGGATCGACCGAGTCTGCAAAAATAAGAAGTTAGATAAATTCAAAACTGCAGCGAATACTTATGTTAATCCTTGCTAGGGAAGACGAAATACCGTAAATATATGTTACTACAACAATATTTCTTGTTGTACGCATTTGTATTAAATTAAAATCAATTATAAAAAATAGTTATGCCACAATTTTAAGGCTGAAGATTTAAAAACTGTGCAACATCCAATTCATTGTTATAACTTAAACTACAAAAACGATTTTGATTGTGGTATAGCGGCTTTATATCATCAATTCATTCATTATAAATTCTGACTGAATTAATAAAGTTCTATAGTGGCGGTGTAGACCGTGTAGTGCTGGTGTTAGAATATACACTACCCCATATCGTCTTGTGGCCGACCCGTGGTCTTCTTACGACAGTAAGAGGCGACAGAGGAAGACAAACTATGAGATGGACAGCAACGTCTTCCTAAAAACGGCTAAAACCCACTTGCCAAGTGTGGCAACTATGGCAAATTTCCTATAATATATGGGGAGGCCTACGCTCAGCAATGGACTTTTAATAATCGGTAACGTAAGGATTTTATAAGAAATGCAGAAATTCAGGATTTACAACTGCATTTGCCGTTACAACCTATATAAGTCCACTGCTCAACATAGACCTCCTCCGTAGATTGCCTCATACGAGAGAATATATGATATAGTTGCCACGCTTGGCAAGCTAGTATTCAACCGCAGTTTTTTTTTAATTTTTGTTGATATTAAGAAGACGCTGCTGCCCATTTCCTGGTTTGTTTCGCTCTGTAGGCTCTTGCGACACGTTGGGACGTATGTATTATAAAAAAAAAATATAAAAAAAATTACACGCCGTGTGATTTTGGGCGAAACTTTAACTCAAGGGATTCTTATATAGGGATTCTTACTCAGAATACAGAATAATATCGATAAGTAAATTTAAATTACCTTCTTTTTATTGTTCCAAAGAAATCTCTTCTACGTTTCCTTGGCGCCGGCTCTGGTGGGTTATTCTCCTGGTTGTTTACGTAGTCACCTTGCTGTGGGATAATGCATTTTATTGGAATATGTAGCTTTTTATTAAAATTAAAATTTTTACTGTGAGAAAAGTTTTAACAGTTACCAAAATAGTTGAAAAAGGAGTTGTGGTACACATGGCAACATTGCTAAAAAAAAAGAAAAAGATACTGACGGTAGACAAAGAAGAAATTATCAAAAATTAGTTATCTGTAAATTGTATTATTACCATTTTTTATCTAATTAACAAATGGTAAAATTAATAATTTTGTACAACCGATTTCAATTTAAATGATTAAGGATAACTCAAAAACTACTGGTCACACCTTGATCATTTATATGGAACCACGTGAGAAGCACCAGCTTTCAAATAAAAAAAAATCATCCAAATCGGTTCAGCAAGAAAAAAGTTATGAGGTGACACAAATAAAGAAAACATACAGTCGAGTTGAGTACCTCCTCCTTTTTGAAGTCGGTTGAAAACGATGGTAATTCACTAGAAGGATCTCTACTTAGTTCAATAGTTAAATTTGATAAAAATAAGTTTTTCATGTGCCAAAAATTATATTACAGTGTTTCAAAGTTTTTGAAAATACATGTATTCGCGTTTATAAAAATAACTCAGTAAGCAATGCCTGTTATAACTACGAAAAACGATAGTTAATGGTTAGTAAATTTAATTAAAGCGCAAAAATCAAGCAAAAACAACAAAAACCTTCGCCGGTTCTGCAGTGTCGCCATTAGCTTTAGCTCCATTCTCCTTTATCCTCACAGTTTTCCCGGGCGATTGACTCGGGCTCGATGTTACCGATTTTTGTACTTCATTAGTTATTGACTTTTCCACTTTTTCGACGGTTGGCATTGTGGCATCGGTCGCGTCTCTCTCCACTTCGATGAATTTGCCCGAGTCAGTTAATTCGACCTTTGTTGCGAGGGGTGTATTGGGTTAGTTTTACATAACACAGCACTCTAGATCTTGGGAGTTATTTTGGTAAAACATTCATTAAAAAAACAATTGTTCATCTTTATATATTTAATCGTTGGTGAGTATTTTAGTGATCGTGTAACTTCTAAACGACTTGACCAATTGTGGTCACAGTCACAGAATAATAATGACAAAGTAGCATACAATCCACTTGATGGTAAGAGGATGCAGTAGCCCATAGACATAAATACATATGTATTCGATTGAGAATCAAAATGCAAATACGTCGTCACTCCTTAGGACTAAAATGGAATGTCACGTTTCCATTAAAAAGGGTCTCCGGTTCTCTACACTCACCATACGAAACACAACATCATTAAGCTACTATTTTTCGCTGGTTTCTGTGAGAGCGTGGTCCTTCCAAGGTCGAGTCGACCCATTCATGTCGCAGTCATAAAATAGCTACAACGTGGCTCTACCTCGTAGAAACCACTTTTTAATGGACCAAAATTATTCATATGCACAATGCATGTTGGTTTAGTGCCAATAAAGAAGATCACAAAATCTGGACTTGATAGATGGCGCTGTGATCGAGTTAATAATAAATTATGGTTGGACTAAAATTTTTACGGAGTGTACATATTTGGGTGTAGACTCTTAGAGGAACTTTTGTGACGAACATAGCAGATAGAGATAGACTGTCAGACAAGATGATCAATTTAGACATGGAGTAAATGATAAAGCAAAGTTGACGCAAGCAAAAATGCTGAAAAAACTAGTTCATTATGAATTTGTTCTTATTGCTCGACATCATAACTTTATAATTTAAATCTTTACTTTCAAGGAAATGTTTCTTCAAAATAACTCCCAAATTAAAACCTCTAAATTTAGTAATGGCAAGTTTCTAACACATACATGCTTAGCAAAACATGTTTTTACAACAAAACTATTTTACACTAATAATTTGTTTTAGGAGAATTGAAATAATTTAAATTTATCATCTGTATTCGATCACAGATTATAAAATAATTAATATTATTTTATTATCTGTGAGACAAGTTATTAAAAAAATTGTTTCATATTATAGATTACTAATACTATTTACCATAGGTAAAAAAAAACTAAAACTGACGATAACATGTTGCTTTTTTTTCTAGTCAAAACAAAGCGAACTCACCTTTATGGATTTCATCGGCTCCTGCGATGTTTTCGGTTCAACAACACGCATGCATCAGGTAAAAGGCACGCACAATGGAAAAAACAATTCTATGTCAAATGATTGAACACAGTAGTTTTTATTAAATTTATTATTTCACAAAAACTAATATCCAAATCACTAACTTTATATGACGTCTTTTGGTCGGAAGAGTTGCCAGATTAAAATAATTTTTGATATAGGAGATTATATAATATTACTATAGTAAGTATCGAAGCAACATATTTTGAAAATATCGCTTAACTATTAAAATAGAAAAAGAAACTAAAATAGGGAAATAATATAAATTTTGATCTTTTGATTCAAGGTAAGTTTTTTTATAGGATAAGGGTGACAAACGCGCATACAGTCAGGCACTTTCGCAGCCAGAAATTTTGTAGGGGTCACTAATAATTACATATGTCGAGTAAATTAGACTTTATTGTACAATACACAATTTTATTACACACATTATAAAACAAATGGGTGTCTTCTATTTTTATTAGCAAATCGGGTGATGATATTTCATGATATTTACAAGACGTCTGGGGCTATCTCTGGATGAATATTTAGAAGAGCTAAACCTATCAGCCTCTCTTCTAACATGTTTGCTCTCTACCAAGTTTTTACACGCCTTAGCGTAGAAAATGATCTCTCTGATGTCGCACCACTTGTAGCAAGAGTTGCCAGAATTTTCAGCAAAGTCTTTATAGTTGGGTAGAGATCATCGTCGCAAACTTCGATTGTAGAAAACACACAGTTAGCAAATTTCGTATCAGTGTTTCTTTGAGTTTCCGTTTCGAAATTCAAGAAATGGGAATAACATTCTGATACTTTCTTCACATTAAGAAGATCTTCTTTTTAATTTAGATTTTGTCATAAAAATGCCTAATCAAAAAAAATGCATCTTATCCGCAGGAAGTCGGCCCTGTACGTCAGTCATTATGCTATCTATCAGTGGAATATACACAGACCTCCGAAAATGACATCGTAGTTCAGAAAAGCACCGTTATATGCCAGCAAAATATAAAATGCATCGCGGCTAGTGCCAGAAAATTGTTTTTTTTTATTTTATAAATTTTAGAAGATTTTTTAATTTGACGTGTACGATTTTGACTTCATGACCCCTTTGACCCTCCGCTTCGGACCCCGCCTGCACACAGTCCACCTGATGGTAAGTAGTTGTTGTGGTCCGTATACATCTACATCCACCCTCAACTACGAATCAAAATGCAGATGCGTTGTCACCCGTGAGGCCTAAGATAGAATGTGTCGTTTCCAGTAAAAGGGGTTTCCGGTTCTCTACACTCACCGTACGAAACACAGCAGCATCAAGCTGCTATTATAAACTGGTATTCTGTGAGAGCGTGGTCCTTCTCCGGTCGAGCCGACCCATTCGTGCTACAACTATACTATACTATAGCTGTAGCATGGCTCTACCAAGTATATTATTTTTGTAAGTTATTTTCATTGTTAATTGAATAAGATTACTTTTTACAGAATTCATTATTCATAAGTCGATATCTGAACATAGGCCTCCTCCATAGATCACCTCATAGGAGAGATTTTGCCTTAATAGGAATTCATTAACTTCTTAGAAATTATACTCGTAACATATTTTTAAAACCATGAATATAGATATAATAATAGGTCATCAACAATTTGTTTTATTAACAACACAATCTTAAAGACGCAAACTATTTTAATCTGGCAAGTAGCTTGTGAGATGGAAAATGACAATTCGTATATGAGTGAACGAGACAAAATATAACATTACCCGTTGGACGGAGTGTATGATGAGGGTAGATTTATTCGTGGCGCTAGTGGGACTTAGTTCCAATTCCCTTAACGCTGATTCAGTCAACTGTGAATTATCTTGACCTGAAAAATTATAACGCTTTGTTTGTAACCTCAGCCATATTTAAAACACTTTTTTTTTCACAAATAAAAAACTTTTTTGTATCATACTGCTGGTGTAAGGCGTTATACAGTTGGTATATAGATATTTTTGGATCCGGATAGCGAGAGTACTGTGGCGGCGCTTACGTCGCGCCACAAACGGAATACATCGAAGCCTAAGTCACGCTATCAAAGTTCCAAGTAAAAGTAGTATATATAGAATAGATCCGAACTACCATTCGGTCCTGTGCCCCCTTTTCCTGCGCCCCTTTTTCCCTAAAGAGGGTCGCTTCCGATTCGGCAGAAAGGCTACAAAAGTCAATGACAGTCTCACACGTGGTGTTTAGTGGGTAGGCAATTAGGTTAGGTTAGTCGCAGTGAGTCCCACATAACCACGAAAGCCGGCTGTCGTGGTATGCTTAGAGCATTTACCACCTCCCTTCCTCGCTTTCCGGAGGGTAGCCTTTTCCATTGCATCTGGGCGCAAAAAAAAAACTACCACTCGGAGCGTTGGTCGCTCCCCGGGCAAACACCTTCATCATCATTACAGCCCTTCACAAGTCCACTGCTGAACATAGGCCTCCCCCAAAGAATGCCACAGAGCACGGTCCTGAGCCACCTGCATCCATCGACTTCCTGCATGTCTTACCAGGTCGTCACTCCATCTCGTGGGGGGACGCCCTACACTTCGCCTACCGGTACGAGGCTGCCACTCGAGAACCTTTCTTCCCCATCGGTTGTCGGTTCTTCGAGCTATATGGCCGGCCCACTGCCACTTCAGCTTACTAATCCGTTGGGCTATGTCGGTAACTCTGGTTCTACTGCGGATATCCTCATTCCTAAGTTTATCACGCAGAGAAACTCCGAGCATAGCCCTCTCCATAGCTCGCTGAGCGACCTTGAGCTTCCTCATACGGCCAGCAGTGAAGGACCACGTCTCAGTTCCGTAAGTCATCACTGGCAACACGCACTGGTTGTACAATTTCGTTTTAAGGTTTTGAGGTATGTCTGACGAGAAGATGTGTCGTAGCTTCCCGAACGCTGCCCAGCCGAGTTGAATCCGTCGATTGACCTCTCGGTCGAAGTTGGACTTACCTAGTCGGACTATTTGTCCCAGGTAAACATACTCGTCAACAACTTCGAGCTTAGTGCTCCCAACAACTACCGGCGTAGGTGTGACATGGACATTAAACATGATCTTTGTTTTGTCCATGTTGATCTTAAGACCTATCCGTTGGGAAACACTATTGAGGTCATTGAGCATAGTGCTTAGGTCCTCCAGCGATTCTGCCATAAGGACTATACCGTCGGCAAATCGAAGGTGAGTGATGTACTCGCCATTGATGTTGATACCGTATCCTTTCCAGTCCAGAAGCTTGAAAACGTCTTCCAATGCAGCGGTGAAGAGTTTCGGGGATATGACGTCACCCTGTCTTACACCTCTCTGCAATTGGATAGGTTTCGTACTCTGGTTCTGTACTCGGATAGCCATCGTAGCCCTACTGTACAAGCACTTCAACACTTCGATATACCGACAGTCAACTTGGCACCGCTGAAGGGACTGCAGCACCGCCCAAATTTCGACGGAATCAAAGGCTTTCTCATAGTCCACATACGCCAGACATAGTGGCAAATTGTACTCTTCGGACTTCTGTACAACTTGCCGAAGGGTATGTATGTGGTCTATGGTGCTAAAGCCCTTTCGGAAACCGGCTTGTTCGGGAGGCTGGAAGTCGTCAAGTCTGCGCGCGAGACGATTCGTAATGACTCTCGAAAACAGCACGTAGACGCGGCTCAGAAGGGAAATCGGTCTGTAGTTCTTCAAGAGAGCGTTGTCACCTTTCTTGAAGAACAAGACCACCGCACTTCTGCTCCACGCCTCCGGTGTAATGCCACCATGGAGGACGGAATTAAAGAGCTTCTGAAGGACTTCAAGTACCGGTCTTCCACCCGCTTTCAGAAGCTCCGCTGTAATTCCATCCTCGCCTGGGGCCTTACCGTTTTTAAGGTGCTGGAGAGCCATTTTAATCTCGCTCAGACTGACATCCGGGATATCTTCGGAATAGTGTCGGATGAGACTCGCTCTTGGATCGTTACTCACACTTGCGTGTGGCTCCAACGATGATGTGTACAGCTGCCCATAGAACCTCTCAATCTCACTCAAAATCTCAGGTGTCCCGGAAACGATGCTGCCACACTCTGTCTTCAGCTTTGACAGTTGGCTCTTTCTGGGAGACAGATCTCTGGCAAAGACTTTGGAGCCTTGGTTCCGCTCGATCGCTTCTTCAATACGAGCTGTATTGAAGTTGCGTAAGTCCCGCCGCATGCATTTGGAGATCTGTCTGTTCAGATGCCTGTATGCTGTCAAGTCTGTTGAAGAATGTAGCTTCATCTCCCGTCTAACAGCCATGAGATTAAGAGTGTGATCGGAGAGTTTTTGTGTTCTTCTGCGGCGGGTCTTGCAGAACTTAGCTCCGACCGCATGGACAGTTTCCACGAGCTTGTCATTCATATCGTCCACTTCATTGCAGTCTTCCAGGCACTGAAAACGGTTTTGTAACTCGAGCTGAAAGGTTTTGGGACTTTGGAACAGAGCACGAGGGGGACGGAGCGTTGACTTCATTAGACGAGACCTCTCCAACTTAACGTTTAGGTTCAGTGTGCCTCTAACCATTCGGTGATCGCTACCAGTTTTCACCCTCGCGATCACGGAGACATCACTGAACAGTTGTCGTCTGGTCGTCATAATGAAGTCAATCTCATTTTTTGTGGAACCGTCGGGGCTCGACCAGGTCCACTTCCTGTGGGGCCGCTTCTGGAAGAAAGAGTTCATCATAAAGAGTCCCTCTTTCTCCATGAAGTCGGCCAGCTGCTGGCCCCTTGGGTTCCGTTGCCCTATTCCAAATTTCCCTACTTTCAGCTCACCGTTCTCTCTTGTGCCTAGTTTTGCATTGAATTCTCCCATTAACACCGTATATTGGGTTTTGGAGGAATGCATGGCTCTAGAGATATCCTCATACATTTCCTCCACCTCCTCATCGGGGTGTGCCGAGGTTGGTGCGTAAACCTGTATGACCTTCAGCGAATACCGTTTGGTGATTCTGAGTATAAGGTACGCAACCCTCGTCGACACACTCCCGATCTTTACAACGTTGTTAACGAGAGACTTGTGGACGATAAATCCGACACCTCCTTGGGACAGATGGTCGCCCTCCCGGTGATAGAGCAAGTTGCCGGATTCGAGGATTACCGTGTCCTCCCCCTCTCTTCGGACTTCGGATAATCCTATAATATGCCAGCGCAACTTGTCTATGTCTTCTTCCAGCTCCACAATCTTCTCGTCAGTCCTCAGGGTGCGTGCGTTGTACGTTGCCAGGTCGAGTCGTCTAAGGTGGCAACCGAACCTCCACCGGAGATTCTTAGCACCCCCTGCCCCGCCGTTACCATGGTCGCCACCGTAGCCAGGAATAGCGGGGCCGCCGGGGACTGGGGGCCGTTTCTTTGTTACTGTCATTCATAGGGGGGTATTTGCCATAGTTGCCACGCTTGGCGAGCGGGTTGGCAACCGCAGTTTTTTTTATTGTAATTTGGCTATTATCAGGAAGATGCTGCTGCCCATCTCCTGCCTGTTTCCCTTTGTCGCCTTTTACGACACCCACGGGAGGATATGGGGTAGTGGATATTCTTGACCGCCACTACACGCCAAACACCTTACCTGGCTGGAAATCTCTCCTTTTCTTTTCACTATACGAACCAAAAATTTGTGTGTAAACAATTACATTAAACAAAACACAAAACATTGCTCTTTAGGTCTTTAGTCATTAGCGAGGGGACGAGAAGGCTAGTTCTTGGTTTTGTAAACCACGAAACTGATTTTGTATGTGTGCACTTTGTCCAGATAAGTATGTAACTATATTTCGTATTTGCCTAAAAGCAATAACTGTCGTAAATGCAAATACAATTGCATGGCATATTTACCGTGTCAGCTACCCGGATGCGCCTTGCACAGTTGTGACACACTTTTTGTACTGAATTTCTGGTCTTGTAGTCTATATGAAAAATAGAAATCTTTGATGCCAGCTAACGATCTAACATTTACTTCCACGGACGTTAATCTGTACGCCAATGAAAAATCATTTTGTAATTACCATTTTGTTGGAATATAGTTTTTGTTGTGGTCGTGAGTTGTCCCAGTGGTGATACAGTGCGCAAACTTTCCTTGATCTTGAACGGCTTCGACCCCAGATCCGGAATGTCGGCGCCCTCTATGAATAGGAACTGTAAACGGAAAGAATTAACTGTAATTATATATAGCACCTGGGCGACAATCTACCCTCGTCGTTAGAATGAAAATTATGGTTGCTAACATATACACACATATATATATATATATATATATATATATAGTATGTTTAAAGTTAATATTTTATTTTTCAAAATAATATTTTTGCTGCATTGAATCTTTTAACAACCTCACGGCACAGTCAGCCTTTATTAAATATTATTATAGTTTCTTATACTATACATTTTGTAGAGTTATTGTATTTGGACCTCTAACGTGATACTATATTATATAGTAGGTTTGGAAACTTTTGTTCTCACTTATGCGTCCTGGTTTAATGGATAAGAGTCAGTATGGTTACAGACTGAGGCGTTTCCATCTCAGTTCTTAGCGGAGACAACGTATAGACGACGTAATTTTTTGTCTTTGTCTGAAGTTGATTACGGTAGCCACTTACGATCGAGTAGACTGTTGGTTCGTTCTGTTATACCCCCGACCTGTATGGCAGACCACCTCATATACATTTCTTAGTAGTAAACACCACTTGAGTGGTCTCTAGCATCTAGAATGCTGACACAGTTTTCTAGTCATTGTTTGTGAAGACGGTAGAGGTTTCCACTACTACGGTGAGCGTGCCGGTACAGTCGCGCACTACACGGCGGCTGTACGTACCTCTACGGTGAGCGTGCCGGTACAGTCGCGCACTACACGGCGGCTGTACGTACCTCTACGGTGAGCGTGCCGGTACAGTCGCGCACTACACGGCGGCTGTACGTACCTCTACGGTGAGCGTGCCGGTACAGTCGCGCACTACACGGCGGCTGTACGTACCTCTACGGTGAGCGTGCCGGTACAGTCGCGCACTACACGGCGGCTGTACGTACCTCTACGGTGAGCGTGCCGGTACAGTCGCGCACTACACGGCGGCTGTACGTACCTCTACGGTGAGCGTGCCGGTACAGTCGCGCACTACACGGCGGCTGTACGTACCTCTACGGTGAGCGTGCCGGTACAGTCGCGCACTACACGGCGGCTGTACGTACCTCTACGGTGAGCGTGCCGGTACAGTCGCGCACTACACGGCGGCTGTACGTACCTCTACGGTGAGCGTGCCGGTACAGTCGCGCACTACACGGCGGCTGTACGTACCTCTACGGTGAGCGTGCCGGTACAGTCGCGCACTACACGGCGGCTGTACGTACCTCTACGGTGAGCGTGCCGGTACAGTCGCGCACTACACGGCGGCTGTACGTACCTCTACGGTGAGCGTGCCGGTACAGTCGCGCACTACACGGCGGCTGTACGTACCTCTACGGTGAGCGTGCCGGTACAGTCGCGCACTACACGGCGGCTGTACGTACCTCTACGGTGAGCGTGCCGGTACAGTCGCGCACTACACGGCGGCTGTACGTACCTCTACGGTGAGCGTGCCGGTACAGTCGCGCACTACACGGCGGCTGTACGTACCTCTACGGTGAGCGTGCCGGTACAGTCGCGCACTACACGGCGGCTGTACGTACCTCTACGGTGAGCGTGCCGGTACAGTCGCGCACTACACGGCGGCTGTACGTACCTCTACGGTGAGCGTGCCGGTACAGTCGCGCACTACACGGCGGCTGTACGTACCTCTACGGTGAGCGTGCCGGTACAGTCGCGCACTACACGGCGGCTGTACGTACCTCTACGGTGAGCGTGCCGGTACAGTCGCGCACTACACGGCGGCTGTACGTACCTCTACGGTGAGCGTGCCGGTACAGTCGCGCACTACACGGCGGCTGTACGTACCTCTACGGTGAGCGTGCCGGTACAGTCGCGCACTACACGGCGGCTGTACGTACCTCTACGGTGAGCGTGCCGGTACAGTCGCGCACTACACGGCGGCTGTACGTACCTCTACGGTGAGCGTGCCGGTACAGTCGCGCACTACACGGCGGCTGTACGTACCTCTACGGTGAGCGTGCCGGTACAGTCGCGCACTACACGGCGGCTGTACGTACCTCTACGGTGAGCGTGCCGGTACAGTCGCGCACTACACGGCGGCTGTACGTACCTCTACGGTGAGCGTGCCGGTACAGTCGCGCACTACACGGCGGCTGTACGTACCTCTACGGTGAGCGTGCCGGTACAGTCGCGCACTACACGGCGGCTGTACGTACCTCTACGGTGAGCGTGCCGGTACAGTCGCGCACTACACGGCGGCTGTACGTACCTCTACGGTGAGCGTGCCGGTACAGTCGCGCACTACACGGCGGCTGTACGTACCTCTACGGTGAGCGTGCCGGTACAGTCGCGCACTACACGGCGGCTGTACGTACCTCTACGGTGAGCGTGCCGGTACAGTCGCGCACTACACGGCGGCTGTACGTACCTCTACGGTGAGCGTGCCGGTACAGTCGCGCACTACACGGCGGCTGTACGTACCTCTACGGTGAGCGTGCCGGTACAGTCGCGCACTACACGGCGGCTGTACGTACCTCTACGGTGAGCGTGCCGGTACAGTCGCGCACTACACGGCGGCTGTACGTACCTCTACGGTGAGCGTGCCGGTACAGTCGCGCACTACACGGCGGCTGTACGTACCTCTACGGTGAGCGTGCCGGTACAGTCGCGCACTACACGGCGGCTGTACGTACCTCTACGGTGAGCGTGCCGGTACAGTCGCGCACTACACGGCGGCTGTACGTACCTCTACGGTGAGCGTGCCGGTACAGTCGCGCACTACACGGCGGCTGTACGTACCTCTACGGTGAGCGTGCCGGTACAGTCGCGCACTACACGGCGGCTGTACGTACCTCTACGGTGAGCGTGCCGGTACAGTCGCGCACTACACGGCGGCTGTACGTACCTCTACGGTGAGCGTGCCGCTGACGTCGTGCTGCTCCATGGGTCGCGGCTGCAGCGCGATGTGCTGGCGCTGCGAAGGCGCTGCTGTCAGCTCGTCCATGCCCACCAGACCCAGGCCCAGGAACCTGCAGCACACCACGTCATCTCCACACAGTCAGGAATTCGTTCAAGAGGCAATTGTATACGCTATTACAAAAAAGTACCAGAAAATATACAAGGTCTCTCTATTACCAAGTTTATTAAACAAAAACTTATAAAAAGGGTAGTTGATTATTATCAATATTTTATTATTAAAAAAGTGTTAAATAGTATTAAAATAGATTCGAACCTGTGACTTGAAGTAACGCTACCCGGCGATGGCGGTACAGTGCGGTCGTATACCTCGAACAAAAGCTCCGCACTCTGCGAGGACAGCTCGCTGCAATATTTAAATATAACACAATACGTGTTACCGTTACCGTTGTTACAGCCTATCAAAGTCGTATACAACCTAAACTCATAGGAGGGAGAGAGGGGGGGATCGTCATCAACATCTAGTTTGTTTTCTTCTGTCGTCTCTTTACAATACATACGGGACGATATGGTGTTCTGCATATACTTACAACTCCACTACAGGGTGATAATACAATAAGTATTATACATCTCTCAAATGAATACACATACGTGAGTACATTCCGTGTAAAAACAGACATGCAGACAAACATGCATGTATGCGTACATCATCCATACCGCGAAAAACGATAACATTGACTACTAAATACTGACTATAGCGAGCCATGCATTCTAAATTCTCCTACTGTTGCCTCGTTTGGAGGCGTAATACGTGTCGTAATGATTTTTTTCCAAAGATTTCTATGTATTGCGCACTAAGTTATAGTAAATTCTCCGTAACTTCTTTAGTCGACTGCACAGGTACATTATATAAGGGTCGACTGTGAGCGGACGTGAAGACAGGTCCTTTGTTTTGTAAACCGGGAACGTTGTGTTCAAAAGTCTAACACTGATTTTATTTAATATGACTAAGAAAACGATGTCATTATTTATGCGCGACAAAGTGGTCTACGTATTAGCAGTATCTAAAAAGAATACTAAAAAACATTGTTGTGAATGAAAATACAACTTGCGTGGCATATTGCGTGGTAGTTTGCTGACCACTAGTCTACTTGACCCTCTTTCTGAGGCTCGGGGGTGAAGACACCACCGTGCCTCGGAAAGCACGTAAAGCCGTTGGTGATCTGTCTTCGATCATTTCGTATTACCGTCCCATCGGACTATGAGAGTGAGGCAATAGAGAGTGCACCTGTGCTTGCGCATACACTTGGGCACTATAATCCTGTCCTGCGCCGATGGATAGTCTCTGGTTGAGACTGGCCGCCGTGACCGAAATTCGATCTGGAGGATATTATTATTATTATTATTACGTTATCGTCATATTGATTGCAACAGAATGATTGAAGCGAGCTTGCGATCAATTAATGATATTTCGAATGATTGATTGCTAAGCCGTGGAATGAAAGGGGGAGAATCTTCGACGGCAAAGTGTTCAATCCGGGGAGTGGCAAACGCTTCATATGGCAGTATCGACTTTGTTCTATATATGCCTAGTCGTTTGAAAACTTCGATAGCGTGATTTAGGACTTCACCGAAGCTTGCGACGCGAATACAACGCCGCTACAATTTAACGAAGGAATGCAGAAACTTACAAAAGGAAGTGCTCCTCCCACTGGGGCGACGTGGTGTCCTTTTTGAACGCGGTCTGATTTTTCTGCGGAGGTTCGTCCATTTCCACCACGCAGTATGGCGCCACACAACCCGATTTTCCTAGAAAGAAAGGAGTAAATAATATTTATGATACGCATATAATATTCAATCAACTAAAAAAAGGTTTACGTGGGAGATCCATGCTGTAGCTATTTTATGGTGGTAGTTCGAATGTGTTGGTTCGACCGGAGAAAGATCATCATCATTACAGCCCTTCACAAGTCAACTGCTGAACATAGGCCTCCCCCAAAGAATGCCACAAAGCACGGTCCTGAGCAACCTGCATCCATCGACTTCCTGCATGTCTTACCAGGTCGTCACTCCATCTCGTGGGGGGACGCCCTACACTTCGCCTACCGGTACGAGGCTGCCACTCGAGAACCTTTCTTCCCCATCGGTTGTCGGTTCTTCGAGCTATATGGCCGGCCCACTGCCACTTGAGCTTACTAATCCGTTGGGCTATGTCGGTTACTCTGGTTCTACTGCGGATATCCTCATTCCTAAGTTTATCACGCAGAGAAACTCCGAGCATAGCCCTCTCCATAGCTCGCTGAGCGACCTTGAGCTTCCTCATACGGCCAGCAGTGAAGGACCACGTCTCAGTTCCATAAGTCATCACTGGCAACACGCACTGGTTGTACAATTTCGTTTTCAGGTTTTGAGGTATGTCTGACGAGAAGATGTGTCGTAGCTTCCCGAACGCTGCCCAGCCGAGTTGAATCCGTCGATTGACCTCTCGGTCGAAGTTGGACTTACCTAGTCGGACTATGAGAAAGATCATGCTCTCACAGAATACCAACGTAAAATAGCAGCTTTAATACTGGTGTGTTTTGTATGGTGAGTGTAGAGAACGGAAGAACCTTATTACTGGATATAATAGGATATGAAACATTTCTTCTAAGTCCTACGGGGTGGCAACGCATCCGCATTTTGATTCTTAATCGTTGAATGTCTATGGGCCACAGCATCCATTTACCATCAGGTGGATTGTGAGGTGAGTGTAGAGAACCGGAGACACTTTTTACAGAATACGACGCATTTCATCTTAGTGCTCAGGGATGGCAACGCATCTACATTTTGATTCTTAATCGAAGATAGATTTAGATGGTCTATGCATCCACTTACGCTCAGATGGACTGTGTGATCGTTTGTTACCCTTATCCTATAAAAAATGCGATTGGTACAATTGTGAAGGAAAACTCATACGTAAATAGAATCTTGAGGTAGCCTTCATATTAGAGGAATAATTTTTATTATCAAGTGTTATATGTAGTCTAGATATAACTCTATAGAGCCGGTACTCAATTCGACTGTATGTTTTTTATGTGTGTTACCTCATGACTTTTTACTGGCTCAACCGATTTCAATGATTCTTTTTTATTTGAAAGCTGGTGCTTCATATGTGGTCCCATATAAATCTAGGTCTGACCAATAGTTTTTGTGTTATTTTTAATAATTTATATTGAAGTTAGTTGTACAAATTTTTTTAATTTTAAATTATATAGTATAAGGGTGACAAACGAGCACACAGTCCGCCTGATGGTAAGTGCTTGCTGTGGTCCATAGACATTTACATATATCCTCGATTGCAAATCAAAATGCAGATGCGTCATCAGCCGTGTTTACTAAGATGGAATGCCTCTTTTCTAATAAAAAGGGTCTAATCTCTACACTCACCATACGAAACATAGCATTAAGCTGCTATTTTACGTTGGTATTCTGTGTGAGCGTGGTCCCTCCCCGGTCGAGCCGACCCATTCGTGCTACAACTATACAATGAATATAGCTGCAGCATGGCTCTACCACGTATAAACTTTTTTAACATTTGAAAATGAAAAAAACAAATGAAAAAACAACTAAAAAAATTTAATCTGTGGTCGCCAACCCGTTTACCAAACATGGCAAACAAAAAATGAATTGCAGCTACAAACAGGCCACCGACTCAACGTTGTCCTACAGTAACAGAGTTACCATACCGCTGACATTCTGTCGTAGCCACATAAGTCAAGTAGAGCAAACGCTGGACATAATGTACTACCTATTTCATAACTTATGAGAACAATCACGATTCTTTAGACAACGCGAGAGCTCTAATACGTTACTAATGTAAGGATCACATCAAGGCATCAGCGTGAGAAAATTATTAATTGTGAAACCTCCCTTGTTCTTACCTCCTAAGTCCTTAGCGCCGACAACCTTAACCAGCAGCCTCTTGTCGCCCAAATGCCCTATGTTATTTGCAGTCGAGTTCGGTGTGGACGTGTACATATGTCTCTCTTGTTGTAACTGTGAAATAAAAAGAGTATTTACAACTACGATTTTCCATTTCAATTGATTTAAGTACTTTTTTTTTTAAAAACGTTACCCGTTAAAAAAGATACCTATTCACTATAGGTAAATAAATAGATAGCTCGCATTTTGTACAAATATTTGGTGCAATAAAGAATAAATAAATAAATAGGATGTTTCGTAGATGTGTTTTTGATTATTGTTAATTTTTACGTGTCACGTATTGAAAAGTAATATACCTACCTACTAATACAAAAATCAACAAGAAGTATAAGGGTTCAATCTTTCAATTTCAATTGTAAAAAAACGTTACCCCCACACTAGGATTTTCTCCTGTGTCGTGGAGGCAGTTTACAAACATAAATTGCACAAGGACAAACATCCAGAACCGTTACAATTATTTGTAGGCCATACAAATACTTGTTGCGTGCGGGATTCGAACCCGCGGCCCCCAGCGCAACAACTGATTGCTGAGCCACTGCGCCACGGAGCCGTCAGTAGTATTAAAGTATCAAAGGCTTCTAATATATATGATCTGTATAGAGCATTAAAGCGACGCTCCTGTATTCATTTAATCCATTCGATCCGATAGAGCGACGGATCAACACGTTCATGTCCCCGTTCCTATGTTTGTGGGCCTTGTGTTTTCGAATCTTCTTTGTGCGTTATTCAATTGGAAAGGAAAGGAGAGAACTCTCACCGGGCAAGGTGTTCAGCCCGGGCCAAAGCTTCATGTGGTAATGCGGAGTACGGACCTTGTTCTACATATTGTAGATTCGTTCGAGAAATTTCAATAGTGAGATTTAGATTTCGGTCCGTCAATATTCTAAACCAGTGTTATTATTATTATGGTGATATTATACATTTATAATATAAATTTAAACATTTAAATATATAGATTTTATATATTTGTTTAGCCGACTTCTAAAAAAGGTTTACAGTTCAACTGTATGTATGTGACGCCATATCTTCGTAAACTGTAGATCAATTTTGATTATCATATTTTTATTAAAGAAATAGATTTTACTTCAGAGATGGTCCCATATAAATTTGGAGGAGAAATTCCACTCCTAAGACTGGCAAAATAGGGGATGAAATAATTATAATGTAACTATTTGGTCGACATTGAGTTTGTAATATTCATTAGTCCAATAAAATATGATATAAAAATATTTTTAATAAAATCTAAAAGCCGACTTTAAAAACTAAGAAGAACAAGTTTCTCATCAGCATTACTTACCATGGAGTCATAATGCAGCGGCAGTCTTGGTGACGCTTCTGCAACATGACGTCGCAACCTTGGACACGTTGGGTACGGGGCCAGATTAAACTGGAGATGAGTGTTCCGTAGTGCGCTCACCACTATGTCACTGGAACATAAAGAATGGTTTTGAAAGAAATACTGTGAGCACTAAGCATGCGGAGTTCACGTATTATTAAATATGCACAAGTTCATATTATACTAGCGACCTGCCCCGGCTCCGCCTGGAAAGGATCTATTTAATGCCGTGTTATAAAGATTTAAAATAATCGTCAAAGACCATTTATTTTATCATATTTTCTGCCGACTTCCAAAAAAAAAAGGAGGCAGTACTCAATTCGACTGTATGTTTTTTTTATGTGTGTTACCTCTTAACTTTTTACTGGGTGAGCCGATTTCGATGATTCTTTTTTTATTTGAATGCTGATACTTCTCGTGTGGTCCCATATGAATTTAATCAAGGTCAGACGATGAGTTTTTGTGTTATTCTTAATAACTTAAATTGAAGTCGGCTGTACAATTTTTAATTATTATCGATTTCTTAAAGAATCTGCAAACTTTTTTTAGATAAATTATATCCCAGATATTACTAGAGATCACATCTCATTCAAGCCAAGTTTTATTACAGTCGATTCATTGAAGATTAGCCCGGACAGACGGACAGAAAAAAAATTTATAAAACCCCTCAGTTCCGTTACCGTTACCGTTACAGCCTATTAAAGTCCACTGACTAACATAGGCTTCCCCCATAGATTGCCTCATAAGGGGGGTAATTACCGTGTAGTAGCGTGAGAATATCCACTACCCCATATCATCCCGTGGGTGTCGTAAGAGGTAACAGATGGAAACAAAACAGTAGATGGGCAGCAACGTCTTTCTGATAACGACCAAAAATAAAAAAAATCGGTTACCAACCCGCTTGCCAAGCATGGAAACTATGGCAAATATCCCTCAGCTCTATTAAAGGCAATTAATTTGATATTACAGGCAGACACTACAATTTTATTTATATGTATGTATAGAACAACAGCAGACAACGGCTTGGTATATTCATTTTAGTTATCACGAAAGTACACTTAAAGCCGGCGCCAGATACAGCGTTAAACATTTGAACACTTGTTTGAATAAGTGCGCAAAGAAATGTACTTTGCCAAGCGGTTTCGGTTTTTCAGCGCACATCAAAGTGTTCAAAGTCGACAGTGCTCAAATGTTTGCGTAACCTACCACACTTGCGCAAAGTTCAATAACGAAAAATAACATTAAGTAATATTCACTTTGTAATGTATGTAATGTAAGTATGTTGACACGACATCTATTAGCGCCTGCTTTATGGCCGTTTTAATAGATTTTTTGCACACTTTTTAACAGTGGTAGAGCCACGCGGCAGCTTTTGCTGTCGCACGGATGGGCCGGCTCGAACCGGGGTGATACCACGACCTCACAGAATACCAGCGTGAAGTAGAGGTTTACCTCTGCGTTTCGCTTGGTGAGTGCAGGTGGCCGGAGGCCCTTTTTACTGGAAATGAGGCATTCCATCTTAGTCCTCACGGGTGACAACGCATTTACATTTTGATTTGTAATAGAGGATAGATGTAGACGTCTATGGGCCGCAGCAACCACTTACCATCAGGTGGACTGTGTGCTCGTTTGTCACCCTTATCCTATAAAAAGAAACATGTAATAAATAATGACATGCACTTAAATAATACACGCACACTGCATCCACAAAATCATCGTCCATCTTGTTTGTCGTTTATCAACGTGCTGTGGAGAGATGTGTTTGCATAGCATGTCTGGCTGGTTGCGCCAATAAGTGTTCAAACAAGTGTGCAAAGTCCTTCAAATAAGTGTTCAAATGTTGTTGCTATATCTGGCGCCGGCCTCAGAATATTGTTCTTGTAACCAAATCTTATAATACCTGACAATTTGTTGCAGATTGCTCTCAGTGGTATTGGGCCTCAAGGGCCCGACCGCTGCAAGCGCGACTTTGACCTCGGGCCAGCCGTCGCATTTTAACTCGCCTGTTAGCTTGTCAGTAACGCATACCACGTTGAGACGCGCGCGGAATCTGAAACATCAATCGAAACACATCAATATCATCATCCGTTTTCGAACAATCCAAACTCAAACTCAATTTCAAACATTTATTGCGAAACCATAATGTACACAAGATGTTATAAAATAATGTGAGACCAGTGTTATGACCCTGTTGAGCACGCAATTTAGGGGCTAGGAGGAAGCGTATTTAACTACTTATAAGAATGTCATTGTGATTTATTGAGATAGAGTACCTATATAGGTTTTACAAAATGATCACTCATTTAAATTGAATTCTATCTCAATAAATCACAATGACATTCTATTTTGTATAAGTATTATTTGTAAAATATTCATTAGTACTATAGTAACATTTATTAGTAAGGTACTCTTAATTTTTTTTGTAAATATGATGTCATTATTTAATTTTTTAATATGTCAGGTATTTTATGGAATATAATATTAATAAAAATAATATATATATAATAATATATAATATATATAATATTAATAAAAATAAAATAGAAATATTATATAATTTTATGGAAGAACTTAATGTATATAACTGTTTAGTTTTAATCCATTTAAACAATATCAATGGCTCCGTGGCACAGTAGTTCTCAGGGCTGGCAATGACGTGGCCTTTGCAAGTTGGTTCCAGATGTCCGTGCGCTGCATATAAAATTATCAAGAAGTGCACTGATTTGGGGATTATTTTTATAATAAATTTGTTGATAAATATTCTATAATTGCTCACCTGTTCACATTGACGCGGTAGTGCGACACCTCCACCTTCTCTCCTCGCTGGCTGAAGGCTTTCAGCTGGAATGCTGGAGTCGCCTCACAGTCGCAGGTTATGGTCTATGGTCAGGTAATGACAAAAGAAAATTCTATAGTGTTCAAATGTTTCCAAAGATCGTAGTAGCAAGCGCAGGGTAGGTGGGAAGTAATTTTTTTAAAGGGTAAGGATGTCAAACGAGCACACAGCCCACCTGATGGTACTTACTACTTACCATTTGTTCGGTGGTTCGGTGTCTTAATCGAGATTGTTCTTAGACATGTTTCCAGAAAATCTGTTCAGCCGTTTGAAGATCATAGGCTTTTTTGTCTCGGGGGTTTTTTAAAATTCTTAATTTAATCCATCAATATTGTGATCCATGAACACCTACATCTATCCTCGATTAAGAATCAAAATGTAGTGTTTCCGAATAATCCTTGAAAATATAGTATAATATAACTGTGTGAAGCTAAAAACTTTTAACTTATCAACAATGACATTGTTATCACCGCTAAAGATTAGAAATTGTCGTCATCACAAACATCCAATCCTTACTCAGAGGAAAAATCTGCAGTGGGTTTATTTTTATGGAATAGGGGTGACAAACGAGCACACAGTTCACCTCGACTAAGAATCAAAATAGAGATGCGTTGTCACCCCGGTGGACTAAGATCGAATGCCTTGTTTCCAGTTATAAGGGTTTCCGGTTCTCTGCACTTACCATACGAAAAACAGCAACATTGAGCTGCTATTTTACACTGGTATTCTGTGAGAGTTCGGCCTGAAGGTCGACCTTTATCGCCCAGAGCCTACCCATTCGTGCTGCAACCATATTACAGCTGCAATGTGGGTTTACCACGTTAAAATTATGTAGCATATATAACGATGCCCTACATTTTCCCTTTTTTTAATGGGTAATGTATGCGTAAGCATACCTGCTGTTTATGTTGTTTTTATTTACTTCATATTAGCATGCAAGAAACCCCCTAAGTTTAATAGAAACCAGTTGTTTAAATGTGATAGACAGACAGTTGAGAAAATCTTATTTTGCCTCGTCTATAGGCGAAACACGTGTCGTATTGTCGTCAGTGGTGTGTCTTTCCTAGTGTAGTGGTGCTGGGATTAGTGGTGACGGGGATAGTGCACGCAATTGAGGGAGGGCGGGAGGTGCTCTTCAAACTAGGTAAAGACACATAACTTTGTATTTTTTTATTTGATTCTGATCTTAGCTTTTTTATATAGAAGAAGGGTGACAAACGAGCACACAGACCAACTGATGTTAAGTTGATGCTGTATAGACACCTACATCTATCCTCGATCTAAAATCAAAACACAGAATGCCTTGTTTCCAATAAAAAGGGGTCTCCGGTTCTCTACAATCACCATACGAAACACAGTAGCATTAAGTTGCTATTTTACGCTGGTATTACAGAATACGAAAACGTGACACTATAATATAGTTGCAGCATGGCTCTACCACGTTAAAAGCTAATTAATTTACAACATACTTAACATAATGGATTTACGCAAAGTAACGCCTGATTCTATTAATTATATTGTAGCAATCACAACTTACACAATTATGATTTGAAAGTGGGTATACGTACCGCGACATCGGGTCAAGCTATTGCCCTCTCGACGGAACACTCAATTGCGTTACATGCAGGATGTTGAAAGGTGCATTACATTTTGAATCCGCTCACAGATTATAATATTATGGTTGTTTTTTAATTGGCTTGAAAAATTATGAATAACAGCCCAACTGTTGGTAAGTGAACGCTGTGGCTCAGAGATATCAACATCTATCTTAAATGCAAATGCGTTGTCACGCTTGTGGACCAAGATGGAATGCCATGTTTTTAGTAACAAGGGTCTCTGTTTCTCTCCACTCACCATACGAAACACAGCAGTATTAAGCTGCTATTTTACGCTGGAATTCGTGCTACAATCATAATATACCACGTACCTATACATATTGGCATTAATACAATAAATAATTTATTTGTTCAGCATTAAATCAGATAGGACGATAATCCGTCTGCACGCACATTTGAAGAACTACTATCATAGTTCTTACAATATCTTGTCAAAAGGAAAGCTTTTTTTTTCCAAGTATATTTTTATTTTTTCTTTTGATTGGTCAGACAAAGCGAGCGATGCGTATTTCAAATTCGAAAATTCAAGTTGAAAATAAAGTAGTTTATTCGTTTTTATTTATTTATTTTATTTATTTATTTATTGTTTTTTACATCTACCTTATAATAAGGGATATAAAGGGCGGACTTAATGCCTTGTGGCATTCTCTACCAGTCAATCCTGGATGATTTGAGAAGTTGTGGTAGGTGCAACACCACTCATTAATTAATAAATAAGTAAAAACATTATATCTTATAACAAAAAGCAAATAAATAAAATATTTTTAAACTATACAAACTTAATATTATCTACTTTGTAATAAACAGAAAAAAAATTAATATTATGTGTGTTACTTCATAATTTTTTACTGGGTGAACCGATTTCTATGATTCTTTTTTATTTGAAAGCTGGTGCTTCACATTTGGTCCCATATAAATATATTGATCAAGGTCTGTCGAATAGTTTTTGAGTTATTCTTAATTATTTATATTGATGAAGTCGGTAATACAAAATTTTAAATTATCAGTTTTTATAAGTTTTGCTATGCCGCCTTTTACGACACCTACGGGATTAACGGGATAGTGAATATTCTTACACTGCCACTACACGGTCAGTGGCTGCAGCGATAATAATGTAATTGCAGTGTTAAATAACTGATTCAAAAAGTGATTTCAAAAATGATGAGTCTCTCAATTCGAGTGTATGTTCGGTTTTTTTTTGTATGTATGTTACGTGATGTCTTCGCAGATTGTGAACCAATTTTAATGATTTTTTTTTATTAAACAGGCTTTAAACTCAAGGGTGCTCCCATTAAATTGTGGAGAAAAACCTCCGCCCCCAAGTGTGGACTATTGTTTAAGGAATTTCATATGATACCTTCGCAGATTGAGAAACGATTTTAATGGTTATTTTTTATTAAATATGTTATAACTTCAGGGGTGGTCCCATATAAATTTGGAGAAAGAATTCCACCCCTAACTGTAGCAAATAAATAACTTCTTTTTTAGCAATTTCAAGTCGGTTTTTACTTATATCTGACGTGTTAGAGCAATGCTGCAGCTATATCTGACGTGGTAGAGCCATGCTGCAGCTATATCAGTGGTATAGTTGTAGCACGAATGAGTCAGCTCGACCGGGGAAGGACCACGCTCGCACAGAATACCAGCGTAAAATAGCAGCTTAACGCTGCTGTGTTTCGTATGGTGAGTGTAGAGAACCAGAGACCCTTTTTACTGGAACTGAGGCATTCCATCTTAGTCCTCACGGGTGACGATGCATCTGCATTTTGATTCGTAATCGAAGATAGATGTAGATGTCTATGGGCTACAGCAACCACTTACAATCAGGTAGACTGTATGCTCGTATGTCGCCCTATCCGATAAAAAAAAAATTTCTTTGTTGAGTTATTATCGTTGGACAATCGTTTTAACAATGCAAACATTAGGTACATGCTTACTTGGAACTGAACATTGCAGAGTATTTAGTAAATTTAGCAGTACTTAATGTACATTACCACATCATCCCTTGAGTCGCATTCGCAGAACACGTTGTATATGTTCGGTGGATTGCAGTCCAGAGCTCGAACCAGCTCCAATCCAATGCCATGCTGAAACAAAAAAACAACAATTTCAATCTACTTATATATATATATATATATATATATATATATATATGTATCACTTTATATGTATATATCTGTTTATTTGCACACCATCTATACTAATATTGCACACATCTATAATATAAAGCGGAACAGTTTTTTGGTTTTTGTTTGTTTAAACAGGCTAATCTGGAACTACCAGTCCGATTTGAAAAATTATTTTTATGTATTACTGCCAGATTCATGAGGAATATAGGCAATCTGGCATTAGGCTTCACCTCACAGCTAGCCTTAAATATTGAATTTTGTTAAGCAAGTCAGAAGAAAAAGCGCTCCCGATATGATTTATCCGCATGCGCTGACGTAATGGTTAGTGATACGTGAATAGAATATTCTACAAAAATATAGATCTTTACTTCATCTCAAAATAATTCCGCGATACCACATGCCTATTTCGTATACATAAGCCACAATAACGTAAATTGTGAGAAAAAAATTATCGTGATATATGAGCGTTCCTTAGAAACGAAAGTTACTTCATCATCAAGTTATATATATACATTATGAATAAATATATATATATATATATATATATATATATATATATATATATATATATAACTATATATATAATATAATCTTTGTTTTTATAGCATCTTATTTGGGCTATGCGTTTAAGCGATAACGAAAAATTAAAATAATTCAACACTAGATTCGCCACATAAAACCTAGCCGCCCGATGAGAACCGAGAGAAACGAACAGTGAACGCTTCTATGGACGAGGTTAGTTTAATCATTTTAGGTTAAAAAAATTCTCAAAATTAACTGAGTACTTATGTACGTTATAGAGCAAAGTTACATTTTCCACTCACCCTCCCCCTCTAGGGTGAGCGTCACCCTCCGCACCCCAAAACTCACCCGAATCGCGGTTTTTCCAGTTTTAAAGAAAACAGTACACGATACATGAAAAGTGTGTAAGTACGAAATGATTCTTGCTAAATAATGGGAGGGGGGGCTGACGCTCACCCGGGAAGGTACGGGAGAGTTCACAAAATTTAACTTCGCTCTATAACGTACATATAATATATATGCCGATAAATAAGTAACAATTTTTAACATTTTTGCTGTCTGTCTGTATGTCTGTTTGTCTGTCCGGGCTAACCTTCGGAATGGCTGAACCGATTGTAATGTAACTTGACGAACAGATAGAGAGTAAAAGCAAGGAGTGACCTAGGCTATACATTATCCGAAAAACTAGGGAGATTTTTTTTTAAATATAAAATTTGATAAAATTCTCGATTTGAATAAAGTCTTTGATGATTGTCTTAAACCTTAATCGCTATATAATAAATGCAATACTACACGTGTCACTAGGATATTAATAATTGTAATTTCATTAATTAATGCAAATTTAACTTTTTGAATTGTTCTGTAATACGAGGTTCTGTAGTTCTCGTAATATGTCCTGTAGTCGCTGCATAGTCCTATGTTTCTCGTCACAAAAAAAATTCATTCAGCATTCTGCTATTTTTAGTTGGCATTCTGTGAAAGCGTGGTCTTTCTCCGATGGAGCATTTTTAATTTAGGTGCTTTATTGTTGTAGACAAAATTTTAAGGAGCACATATTACTCGACACGCCGTTCAAATTCAAATTACGTTCTTGATCGATCTTTCTTGGCAGGAAACAGGGGAATGTTAAGTGTGTACAGGTCCTGTACACGCCCCTAGCTGCCCCAACAAAGGTTGACGGGACTAGGGCCCATGAGTAATCCCATCGACGGGCAGCAGAGGGATGGGGCCATATGGCCACATGGAAGAATTTCCTATAATACTAGGCTATATGGGAGAAGGCTAGGGAAATATAGTACGTACCTGGTTCCGACTCTTAGATCGCCCCAAGGATCTGTCAGGCCGTAAGTGGGTGTGAGGTGCATGGCAAGTAGTGTTTAGTGATGTGTAAATGTCTGAAACCTGGACCAGCTTAGGCGACCAGCAGCGGCCGAGTTCCAGACTGCCCCACAATGCTGCATCGCTCCAGCAGGCTCCACCGCTGGACCATTTCTTTCTTCAACTATTTCAGTCTATTAGCTTCATTGTACATTTAACTAACTTAAACTCGCCTAATTCCACATTCATCGTAGAATCGAACACGTGATACCTGACATAGTAAGGACAGTAGTTCAAAATTCGACATTCAATGTCCCGGATTCACTTATCACAAAATTATAAATAGGGAACTAACGCGATCTCTTAATGAGTCATAGGGTTCAGCGTTAAACACAACTAAGTTCCTTCATTCGACACCAAAACACCACGTCGCGAAAAGAAATCAAAATACGCCTCGTTGACACGTAAACTAACAAACCAACCAACACACAAAAAAGGGAACTTAACGCGATGGCACAATTATAATGATTTCCAAACAATCAACCGGGAGACGCTCTCTACCAAGGAATGCGCGGTTCGAATCCTAGACCGTATATCTATTCGAAGCGCGCGTGCACAATTCCGCATCACCCGAACAACTTAAATATTGCAAAATTCACATATCCACGTAGCGAAGTAACACGTACTAAATCTATCTGGACCCTACACGGTTACGTGAACTTCGGCCGCGATAATCGAGATACGCGGATTCACCGCATCGCGGCCAGCGAACTACTCTTCTTCGCCCACGCGTTGAGCCACTGCAAGCCGCACACGGCCGCCTTTCGTATCTACGTTCAATTTTTGATTTTTGTAGTATAGTATGGAGCCCCTTTTATCGAAAATATATTTTTATAATTATTGAATGGAAAAACAACAATAAAAAGTTTTTAAAATTCCACAAATATGACCGGCCTCTATAAAGATCAGGGGGTTATTTGCTTCCTAATAAGACATACGAGTATATACAACCATTTTTAAAATGTTTATCTGTCTATTTGTCTGTCCGGACTATCTCCGTTGAACCAATTGTGATGAAATTTTAAGAACAGATAGAGCGCTATATACGTGGTAGAGCCATGCTGCAGCTATATTAGTAGTATAGTTGTAGCACGAATGGCTCGGCTCGACCGGGGAAGGACCACGCTCTCACAGAATATCAGCGTAAAATCGCAGCTTGATACTGCTGTTTCGTATGGTGAGTGTAGAGAACTGGATACCCTTTTACCCTCACGGGTGACGACGCATCTGCATTTTGATTATTTATTGAGGATAAATGTAGTTTTTTATGGGTCACAGCAACCACTTACCATCAGGTGGACCGTGTGTCAATTTATTCATATTGAAGTCGGTTGTACAACATTTTTAATTTTACCATATGTTTAATTAAATAGAGATGAAGCTGTTTCTTAAGTGATTTTTGTAAATAATTGTATAACCTATTTAGCAGGTATTATATAATGTAACTCTTGAAAACGCCTCGTTGCGTTTCTTGCTGCTTCTTCCCATTTTCTGAACCAGCGGTCAAAGTAAAAAATGAACATCAATACGAATTATTGGTACTTTGGGATTATCCCGTCGACCTCCATTTGCTTGCGCTTGCGCCATTTGCGTCTAATAAAACATTACACCAATCTTGCAATATCAGTAGGTAACAGCGAGTTGAGGTACAGCCAGCAGCACCTACAGCCGCCTACATTATATTGATATAATCGTTAATTATAAATAAATTCTCGAGTGTTGAGAAGTTGACGCGATAATCCCAAAGTACAGAATTATTTTAATTTATAATATATTGAATAAAAAATCTTCATAAAAAAATGTTCTATTCTATTCTATTTTATTGTCAAACAGAACGCTAGACTCTAAATAGTGACGTTTAAGCAATCGCACTAATCAATAATCATAAAGCAAAAGCAATATCGTATATACTAATATACGATTATTGTCGATAATCGTATATACGATTAATCGTAATCGTCTATTATCATTGCAATTATCTAGCGATTATTGATCACTTTTATTTTTAAAAGGAATTTATTCCAATTGTTAATGAATAGAAAAAAAAATATCTTTCAATCAAACCATCGTCCGTAGCAACGGAGAGGTTATTTTACACTGCTAGATTGATTCAAACTGAAAAAAGGAACAGATTGACGCCTGAAAAGCTAGAAATGTTATGTTTTATTAACAAAAAAAATTAAAATACCTTAATTATGATTATCAATTCCGCAGCAAACATTATTAAGTGGCGAAACTTGCGAAGTCACTTATTGATTTCACGATGTCTGTCCGTCTGTCCGTTTGTCCGTCTGTCCGTCTGTCCCACGATTATCTCGAGAACGGTTTTGAATTTTCAAATTCTGTTTTCAGCAATTGATTACTGATCACCCAGGCATCTGAACCTCATATTTTGAAACTGATTGCTCAACGGCAACCGTTAGAAACTGATTGCTTCGCCACTTTGCTATGCTGTTAGCTTGCTAGGTTTATTTGAATAGTTTATGGTAACAAATATTATGCTCTTTTATCGATAGTAGTATGTTTTATTTAAAAAAATAAAACGTGTGTGTGTACTTATGTACGCACGTAGGAAGTTATAATCCTTTAGCGTAACAAAACAAAAATAACTAAAAATAACTACCTTAAATATATTTATCAATTCCCACGAAAATTTGAAAGACAGTTCAGCGACAATCAGCTGAAGTTGTCGCTTTGAGGTGTCAGTGTGCGCGCGCATCGTAACAACTTCATGGTGTCGTTTTTAGGTGTCCGTGTGCGCGCGCATCGTAAAAATTCACTCTCATCATTTTTCCCAAAATAAGTATAACTTCAATAGAAATAATAGTAATCGTATTCGTAATGGTCGATAATTAAGCGTAATCGAATCGATGAGTGATAATCGTTTCATTAGTTTTAACCTGAGTGCTGCAACGCCCAAGCCTGCAAGCCAGCATATTTGCAACCTAATAAAACTTACATTTTAATTTGTAACTTCTTCTTCGGGGATGGAAATCAAATACCTTGTATACGATGAAATTCAAAGCGCATGCTCGCCCCTTAATTTGAAAGGCTTACGT